CATACACACACATACACACACGCACACAGTACATATACATATATCCGTATATGTACATATTCATATATGTACGTATATATTTATGAATGATAAATCATACTGGAAACAATAGTAAACATATTTCTTCTAGTTAGTATAACACATAACGAGCGAGCGAGATTAACGCAATATTCCCTCTTACGATGGATGATTCTGATTCTTTTTCACCACATCGTAAGTGTAGAGACATTTTGCGCATAGATAAGTACATTTCAACATTGTGATAAACAGAGCTGCTGAATACTTGGCAGCTTTCAGTTAACTGATGTCCATTACGTTCAATGATGGATTTCAATATTTTCCTTTGGAATTTCAAGGGATTTTTGGTGTTTACCTAAAGGAGTTCCGCGTGACCCCGCAATTCTCTAAGATTGCAATACTATGGTTGCCGAACTCTTAAGTGGTCCCATTACCCTGTTGGTTCAAGTGGTCCCGATATTCCAGCGGTCCATGTGGTCCCATCACCAATAGGGTTATGTTATCTTCAATAAATCTCTTTACAGTCATACAACTCCCAATTTTTTGTTAAAACTCCACCAGTTAATGAATATAACGCTTCCGGTTTTCCCTTCTCTATTTCTGAAATCTAAGATTCTACCTTGATAGCATTTTGAAGGGTGGAGTTGATGCATATTCTTATATTTTCCTGCGTGGTATTATTGGCCCTTATCAAAGAAGTACATATTATAGGGCTTGCTTTGGTCCTCTTAATGTTCATGTAATATACATAGCACTATTATATTTCTGTCTTTACTGAAATCAGTGTTTAAGTTTATTTATTGTGATACCCAGTGTCTTAATGTCATACGCCTGTTGAATAACTAACCATTTTTCTTCCAGAAATAAATTTACTAGTTTAAAAAGCGTAACTCTTCAGCATCTGTGTGCAACCTGGACTCTACGGACTACGTTTGATGGCGATTATCCATTTGAGAAATTTGTTATTGTCATTTCCTATTACAACAATCATCATCGGCATTGTTTCTGTCATAATGTCATACTGGTAAACTTTAAAACATTATTGTCAGGCGTCGATGATTATGTTCTGTTGAAATTATCAAGATTACAAAATACGTTGATTAGGGTGCCATTTAGTAATGATATTAACTGTATGTTTGAATAACACTTATTTCTCTCCCTGTCGACCTTTTTTTTATTTTTCTTATATGTTTTTGCTGGCAGTTTCGAAAAAAACTAACATATTAAAGCGACCTGCAGGACAGCATGGATAATAGATTAAGAACATCCGCAACGATCTACTACCATGTCTTGGATGGTATCAAATTTGATTTTATGATCATGATCGTAATACAGCATCTTCATCGGAGAGAGCTTGCGCGCACCACAGCACGGGCCGTGCTTGGCGCTGGTGCTATTCATCTTCTGAATCAATGCACTGTGGGCATACTTGTGGGCATATAAATAAGGGCACTCGCCATTGCAAAAGTTAGCTTCATATACCTTAGGAGCAACAATGAAGTCCCATCCTAACTCAACAAAATTGACGAGGAGTGGATACCGACAGCAGCGGGACTCGATCTGGCTGGTAGTGCACTGGTTTCGGATGGAGTTCCTTCTGTTGCGGTTCCTTCTGCTCTCTTCCGTGTGGATCTCCAGCAACGGCGCCTGCGAAAATTGTTATAAGTGATAGTTAAAACAATAAAAGCATAAGTGTGAGTGTGTGTATACACAAAATTTGATATATATATATATATATATATATATATATATATATATATATATACATATATATATATATATATATATATATATATATATATATATTATATATATATATATATATAGAGAGAGAGAGAGAGAGAGAGAGAGAGAGAGAGAGAGCGAGCAACACACACACACATATGTATATATATATATATATATATATATATATATATATATATATATATATATACATACATATTATATATATATATATATATATATATATATATATATATGTAAATATGTCTCTTTCTCTCTCTCTCTCTCTCTCTCTCTCTCTCTCTCTCTCTCTATATATATATATATATATATATATATATATATATATATATATAGAGAGAGAGAGAGAGAGAGAGAGAGGGGGGGGGAGAGAAAGAGAAAGAGAGAGGGGAGGGAGAAAGAGAGAGAGAGAGGGGGGGGGGAAGAGAAAGAGAAAGAGGAAGTTAGAGAGAGGGGAAGGAAATAGAAAGAGAGGGGGAGAGAAAGAGAAAGAAGGGGGAGGAGGGGGAGAGAGAGAGAGGGGGGGGGGGGAGGGGGGGAGAGAAAGAGAAAAGAGAGAGGGGGGAAGAAAGAAAGAGAGAGAGGGGGGAGGGAGGGAGAGGAGAGAGAAGAGGGAGCGAGAGAGAGAGAGGGGGAGAGAAAGAGAGAGAGAGGGGGGGGGGAGAAAGAGAGGAAAGGGGAGAGAAAGAGAGAGGGGAGGGGAGAGAAAGAGAGAGGGGGGCAGAGAAAGAGAGAG